AGGAATTAACCTCACTGAGGACCAAGTCACTCTCCTAAATCTGGGCATAAACTGTCATGTTATGTCCAGACCGAGTGAAATGGCCCGGAAAGTGGAGTTGGAAATTCTGTTGGACGACATATTCGACCTCGAGACACAAAAGAAGGTCACTACCAAAGATACCTTACAAGCAGAACTTATTGCAGAAGGAGGAAAGAATCGAGGCAACTACAGAAGCACCATACTGTCCCCCGAGCTTAGAGCGGCAGCTAAAAGCCTTCGTGAGAACAAGGAGATAGTTGTCAGGAGAGGTGACAAGTCGCCAATATATGTCATTCTTAAAAAAGACGAATATCTGGCGAAAATGAACATCATACTCTCTGACCAAACTAAGTTCCAAAGGGTAACGAAGGACACTACAGCCGAATTAAAAGCAAAGGTCAACAAACTGATCGAAACTGTGAACGCCAAGAAATCCGGACTCCACCTGCCAAAGATCATTGGGGAATATAAACCTGGATATGCGTATGGAAATGTCAAGACGCACAAGCCTGGAAACCCACTTCGGCCAATCATTAGCCAGATACCCACACCCACGTACAGATTGGCGAAGCGACTCAACGGCCTGCTGACTCCTTATGTTCCTTGCGCCTTCAGCCTGAAGTCTCCAAAGGAATTTGTGGACTTACTGCGGGGCGCACGGGCCACAGGGATAAGAGCCTCGTTGGACGTAGAATCGCTGTTTACCAACGTACCTGTGGACGAGACAATCGGAATGATAGCCGACAGAGTGTATCGTGATCCAGCCTGTACTCCTCTTGACATGCCAGAAAGTATTCTGAGGAAACTACTCCAAGCTTGTACTAAAGAGGCACCCTTCTTGAGCCCGGATGGGCACATGTATAAGCAAGTAGATGGGGTCGCCATGGGTTCTCCCCTAGGTGTCCTGTTTGCAAACTTCTACATGGGTACCATCGAGCAAAAAGTCTTAGTCGACATGAACTTGAAACCGGCCATATACTGCAGGTATGTTGACGACATTTTTACACAGGTACCTGATGTCAGACATCTGCAGGAGCTGAAGGAGGCATTTGAGCAGAGTTCCGTGCTGCGTTTCACTTACGAGACGGAAAAGGATGGGAAGCTGCCTTTTCTAGATGTAACAGTCATGGAAAAGGGCGGAGGTTTCCACACTGCAGTCTACACAAAGGAAACAAACATAGGAATGTGCCTAAATGCCAACAGCGACTGCCCTGACAGGTACAAGAGGAGTGTTGTTAACGCATACGTCGACCGTGCTCTCAGCCACAGCTCAGAATGGAAGCAAGTCGACGAAGAACTCTGTAGGGTAAGGCAGGTTCTAGTCAATAACGGCTTCTCCAATGGTTTCATCGAAGACATCATAAGAAGGAAAGTGAAAAGCCATGCAACCTCCGAAGAGACAACTAACACAACACCTATACCCCCTATTAGACTATTTTACAGGAACTTCTTTTCCACAGCTCATAAAACAGAGGAAAGGGTCCTGAAAGATATTGTTAATAGAAACGTTATCCCTACAGACAAAAATCAGAGGATACAACTGACGATTTACTATAAAACCAGAAAAACGGCCAGCCTACTCATGAGAAACTCTCCAGACACGAAACAGAACGCTTTAAAAGAGACTAACGTCGTCTATGCCTTCAAATGCCCACTTGGGGACTGTAAGCTCCAAAAAACCCAGTATATAGGCAAGACAACAACATCTCTTTCTAGGCGTTTAACGATGCATAAACAACAGGGCTCCATTAAGGAACATATAATCTCTTCCCATAACCAAACCATCGCCAGAGAAATCCTAGTAAACAACACAGAAATCATCGATAGATACAGCGATAGCAGGCGGCTTGACGTTTGCGAGGCACTACACATCAAGAAGTCAACACCAGCAATCAACAGCCAATTATTGCACAACTATATTCTACCCACCTCAAGACTCCGCTCCAATATAGAAGCATCAAGAAATATGGACCAATAGGCTTTCTACAAACACTTCTATTCAATACCCATTGTTTCTGTTCTGTCTTGTGTTGATACTTTTAATACCCTATTAATATCCTCTAGTGTTCTGTCTTGTGTTAATGCCACATCATCCTTCCCACCTCACTCAAATGTAATGCCACATCACCCTTCCCACCTCACTCAAATGTAGATATAAAATCAGGGAAACGCAAGTTCTAATCAGTTGTGTATTTGTGAAGTCTTTGAAAATGTAATAAGTTTTACGAAATGCGCCCGTGTCGCGTCAGACTAGAAATAAAAATGAATTTTGGAGAAGTGATTTTTGATTTACCTCCAACAGTGAAGCATAATGTACGAAAGATTGAGAAAATTCGTGTTAGAATTATTAATCTTACTTTTTCGGTCATATTTGATAATATATGTCTACAGGAAAGACTGCTACCAAAATATATATATATATATATATGTAATATATATATATATGCTATATAATATATATATATGTATATATATATATATATATATATATATATATATATATATATATATATATATATATATATGTATATATATATATATATGTATATGTGTGTGTGTGTATATATATATATATATATATATATATATATATATATATATATATATATATATATATATATATATATATATATATATATATATATATATGGTGGCGTCGTGCAGACGACGCCACCGCCCTCACCAAAATGGCGGCTCCCAACCTACTCCTCTTGCTGTTTATACCCTCCATACACACGTTATATATAAGTATCTACATTTGTGTTCACCATAGCGAACCACTAAGCTGGTATGGTGAGTGCAGTCAATAAAAGGTGGCCACACACAGTCAAAAGACATCGCCACCACCCTCCCTCCGACAGCATTACTCCTCCCTCCATGCCGCACAGCGCTAAATATCACCACAATCCTGCTATTATCAGAACCCTGGTCAGTTTTATCACAATCAGGGGTCTTCTGTAATAATATCATCGCTACATAATTGCATGAACAAGTATAATTTGGCATTTTTAGGCGATGCTGTGGTCACAAGCTGAACAGCAGTGCTGTTAGCTCATGCTGCGTGCGTCAGGCTTGGTTGCTCACTCAATACTGAGGCCAATAACACCCGGGAGTTTGGCCCACGATTTTTTTAAAAATGGCGTCTGTTTACAAGAGCCCTGATGAAGGTGTGGTGAACCCTGTGTATCCGCGGGCTGTTTAAATCTTGTGTAGTACTCCAACACATCATATGACGTGATGCGCAGTTGACTGGAACAACGTCCAGCACGTCATGTGACGTGATGCGCACTTTAAGGGTTAATCGACTGAGCTACGACATGGTTAAAGAATTGCAACCTGGAAATGTGTGTAATGAAGTAAGGGCGAAGAGGTAGAACAGCCTATTGGCAGAGCTCAGGTGCATGGGGGAATTGCAAAAAACCCTGGTTTGTCTCTCAGAGAGGCTGTAGGTCTCGCGGTAGATCAGGATGATTTCCCAGTTGCAATTCTTTTACCATGTTGTAGCTCAGTCGATTAAGGCTGGGGTACTCTCGGACGTAAGTTTGAACCCTCGTCACGGCCCTTGTGAATTTGTTCATTAAAACTTTATATTTCTATACACAATAAACATAAATTTACACGGACTCGATCTGATGGATGCCTACTACATGCTTCGGGTTGATTGGTAAGGTCAGTTTTGACTGCCAGCTGCTAATGCTTCTTCTGGTGAGCATACATCTCCCAATATCATTCAGTAACTCTGCCTAACTCTTGGTAACCCAGTTTTCTGTACGAGTTTGATGAAGTTTGTTAGACAAAATTCAGACTCAATTTGGTCAAGATTACCCAAAAGTCCAGGTTAATGGGGTCTGGATTAGCAAGCTCTTACTGCAATTTCATCTTTATATAATGTAAAAGTTCAACAGCTATTCAACGAACTCTATGGGAGCAATCCCAACTTATTGCAGTGAGGGACTCGTTGCAAACGAGATGAAAAATCTTAAAATGAAAACAAACCATAGAATTTGATTTTAAATATGCTCAGTGGTTTCCCAAGGCACCCGACTTTCTTCTAATCATAAGTCCATCTATGAAAATAATTAAAAAAGTGATTGGAACTCTATCAATTGATTTACAATTCATACCCCTCATATTTTCCCATGCTCTATGGGGCTGAGTTCACTAATCGAAATCTTTAATTTTAACATATGATATGAGGGTCAACTTTTCAACTAGTCTGTGAACTCTGTCCCAATATCCTAAGTAAATCCACACATCCCCCCCTTCATCCAACAAGAGTTCCTGGAACTGGAAGAGTAAATCTAGCCTGGAAAGTGTGCATCCCACCTGAACATTTACCGAATCGAGGTTTGTTGAATTAAGGTTCCACTTTACTGTACTGTTAAATTTAAAATAAATTATAATTATATATATATATATATATATATATATATATATATATATATATATATATATATATATATATATATATATATATATATATATATATATATATATATATATATATATATATATACTGTATATATATATGTCGTACCTAGTAGCCAGAACGCAATTCTCAGCCTACTATGCAAGGCCCGATTTACCTAATAAGCCAAGTTTTCATGAATTAATTGTTTTTCAACTACCTAACCTACCTAACCTAACCTAACCTAACCTATAAAGATAGGTTAGGTTAGGTTAGGTAGGGTTAGTTAGGTTCGGTCATATATCTACGTTAATTTTAACTCCAATAAAAAAAAATTGACCTCATACATGATGACATGGGTAGCTTTATCATTTCATAAGAAAAAAATTATAGAAAATATATTCAGGAAAACTTGGCTTATTAGGCAAATTGGGCCTTGCATAGCAGGCCGAGTACGACGTTCTGGCTACTAGGAAAAACATGTATATATATATATATAATAATAATGACAATAATAATAATAATAATATTCACTACAAGGATTGATTTGTATGTATTGTATTTATTTCAGATTTCGGTGCCATTCCAATATGAATGGCTTGATGACATGTTCCGTGAGATGGCTACTTATGTCTTCTTTGTCATGACTGGATACAAGTTCAGACCTGCCAACAATAATCCTTACTTCCGAGTATATGATAAAGATGAGGAGGTTGAAGAAGTGTATGTATTGCACCTATTTAGTTTTTTTGTCAGGTTAAACAAATAATTATTGTATTTTTTCAAATGTGAATTTTAAAGGAAAGCAGAATACTGTATAGTTAAATATGTTTAGATCTCATCTAAGCGAGGATGTTCAGTCTACCAAGCCAAGCAAATTTCACAATACAAACAATACAGTATTATGAAATATTCATACTACTATCATACACACAATGAAAACATAATAATATGTTATATCCATGAAGAAATTTTTGAAGCAAGGTGGTGGAATTTAATCTGTGTCCTGTGTCATCTCCGGCTGCACACCATGCCCTTGAACCACAATTGGCTAAAAGTAACTCAACCTGGATTGGATACCAGAGTAACTTATGTTTACTTGTACAGTACGTAGTTGGTCGAGTACTTATTTTATTTATTTATATATATATATATATATATATATATATATATATATATATATATATATATATATATATATATATATATATATATACATATACAAGAAGGTACAATGGGTTTATGAGAGAACATAGCATTGATGTTTTTACATTCTTGTAAAGCCACTAACATGCATTGCATTTCGGGCAGATTAGACACAAAGTTTAGTGGTGTTATCTTGAGATGTTATCTTGAAATGATTTCGGGGCTTAGCGTCCCCGTGGCCCGGTCCTCGACCAGGTCTTTTTGTTGCACAACCCCAGGAAGCAGCAGCCCATAGCAGCTGTTTAACTCCCAGGTACCTATTTACTGTTAGGTAGAACAGGTATATCAGGGTGAAAGAAACTGCCCATTGTTTCCGTCTCCACCGGGGATATAACCCAGACCCTCAGGACTACGAATTCCAAGCGCTGTCCACTCAGCTGTCAGGCGCCCTTGATACTTATACTTATCAACTTATTTGTTTGTTTGATACTCATTAAGTATAGTCTTGGGTACCGCAGTCAGTTTGTTGGCAATGTAGTGAAGTGTTGAAGTGTTTGAGTCAAAGCCTGGAAGGACAGAGAGTTGAGCGAGGCTGGAGGCACAGAACTTGGATGCAGGGTGAGAGTGTAGAGCATGTAGCTCGAGTGCTGGACGAGGCGGTACTGAAACACTTTACGAGTTTAGACTGATTGACTGCCAATGATTGATTGATTGATGAAAATTAAGTCAACCATGAAGTGGCATGGGCATGAGTAGCCCGTAAAGAATGCCAATGTGCTGTCATGGCTTATATTAAAAGCTTCCTCCTCATTTAGGCCAAACTGTCCATTGGCCTGATTGATCCTGTACCCTTGGGAAGAGGTATTAATTGTAATTAGCTGTGCTCTTGGAAATTGTAATTAGTGGACCTTGAATTAGTGTAAGACTTCTAGGAATATAGAACACTTAGAGATAGGTTATGTATCTGTAACCCATTTATGTAAGGGGTCTGTAACAGACCCATCTCATTATCTGCACATAAGCTAATGAGATTATGGAGCAAGTATATTATACTTGCTACACCAGCAAGTATATTATACTTGCTACACCAGCAAGTATATTATACTTGCTACACCAGCAAGTATATTACACTTGCTACACCAGCTAGGTGTTTCCAAATTCCTCGCAAGTTTGGGAAGACTCCAGGTAGTGCTACTTTTAATATATCATGGTCCATGGGTAAGGTGTCCATGTAGAGATGACCCAAAATACTGATTCAATTCCACCTCCCTGCTACAAATGATTTTCTCATAGATACATCACAGTGTTGGGATTTAACCCTTGGGCCACTAAGGGTCATAATGGCTTCAACACCCACAGGCACAACAACAAAAATATCCAAAAAATTCTTTCGCCTCATAAAAGTGTTCATTTGTGTTCCCCTGATCACGGAAAAAATAACAAAAAAATCGTAGGTGGCATATATTGGCCACAATCAAGTCGGGAAGTGAGGTAAAAAAGAGGCGTTGACAGAGCAGTCACCAGACAACAACGGTTGATTGACAGTTGAGAGGCGGGCCAAAAGAGCAAAGTTCAACCCCCGCAAACACAACTAGGTGAATACAAGGCCTGCTCCGCCCGAGCTGTCAGGCGACAGTTGCCACAAAGATATTATTTCCTAATTATTTCAATGTCTCTGATTTTTTTTTAGTTTTATGCAGTAATATTATTCAGTAGTGTGTATTGTGATATATTTATATAATAAAATGTGTGAACCATTCCTTTACTCAAAATTATGGTGTGCATATTAGTGATTCAATTATTATGTTCATAAAACAATAAACAAATAGTTTTGCTGTTATTACACTATATACACAAATTATACATAATTATCTGCATGTTTTGCTCACCATAACGAACCACTAAGTTGGTATTGTGAGTCAAAAAGCGAGGAGTGACCGTCACACACCAGTCAGCCACTCGCTGCCACTCCCTCCCTCAACAACACCTCACTCGCCCACATTCTCCTCCCACGAAATTGTTTTTGCACTTATTCACTATACACAGACGTTATATATAAGTATTTACATGTTTTGTTCACCATAACTGTACATCTAAGCTTGTATGGTGTGTAAAGGCAATAAGACGTGGCTACTCACACAGTCAGCTGGTGGCGGCCGCCCTCAAGGCCAGACGCACTAATATTTCTTCTCAAACAATATTGTTTGTGGTGTTATATATAATGTGTGTATACAGCATAATGAGTATCTACCTGTTTTATTCACCATACCTGTACAAATAAGCTGGTATGATGTCCATAGACCATAGTGGCCACCAGTAAACAACAAGACATGTCATGCAGACGTCGCACCTCCCTCACCAAAATGGCGGCTCCCAACCTACTCCTATTGCTGTTATTACACTCAATACACACGTTATATATAAGTATCTACATTTGTGTTCACCATAACGAACCACTAAGCTGGTATGGTGAGTGCAGTCAATAAAAGGTGGCCACTCACTGTCAGAAGACGACGCCGCCACCCTCCCTCCCACAGCATTACTCCTCCCTCCATGGAGCACAGCGCTAAATATCACCACAATCCTGCTATTATCAGAATCCTGGTCAGTTTTATCACAGTCAGGGTTTTTCTGTAATACTATCATTGCTAAATAATAGCATGAACATATATATTTTGACATTTTTAGGTGATGCTGTGGTCATAAGCTGAACAGCAGTTCTGTGCACTCATGGCGCGTGCGTCAACCTTGGTGGCTCACTCAGTACTGAGGCTTTCACACCCAGGAATGTTGCCCATGATTTTTTTTCTAGGTGGCGTCTGTCAACTATCGGTTGTGGCTGCACTATAGCTGCCCCTATCCCATGCGGGGCATTTAAATTAAGGCGCTAGACACTAAAACAGCTATTAATGTATTGCGCGGTTCCGGTTTTGTTTCTCAAATCATCTACATATGTATTGCGTGGTCTTAGGGTTAATTGTGTATCTGGCAAGAAGCATTTGGTTCAAAACTCGCATATCTACACGAGTGTGTATGTGGGGTACCACGTAAAAATTAGATTGAAGATTAACTCAGTGCCTCTATTTTCATTGTGAATTCAGGCAAACTCCTGGTTGTGTCACCTTTATCATATGGTTGTCCATAGGCAAGGCATGCACCCTGCTCCAAAGATTTTCTTATGATTTTATATACCCTGATATACAAATAATGCCAACAGTATAAAAATTATTGAAGTTATACCACTTATCTCTTTGGGTTGAAATGTAGGTGAGGTTGGGGATGGTTGTGTAGGGAGAGCTGGTAAACCAGGAGGAGGAGGGATTATGGGTGGGTCGATGTTATGGTTGAGTGCGATGATAATCTGACTTTGCATGCAAGGTGGGATGTGTAATTTGAATACTGTACCTGCTTGATGGGGTTCTGTGAGTTGTTGTTCTCCTCAAGCCTGTCCCGAGGCCAGGCATGACTTGTGAGAGCTTGGTCCAACAGGCTGTTGTTTGGAGCGGTCCACAGGCCCACATACCCACCACAGACTGGTTGGTCCAGCACTTCTTGAAGAAAAATATCTAGTCTTTCTCTTGAAGATGTCCACGGTTGTTCTGGCAATATTTCTTATACTTGCAGGGAGGATGTTGAACAACCGCAGACCTCTGATGTTTATACAGTGTTCTCTGATTGTGCCTATGGCACCCCTGCTCTTCACTGGTTCTATTCTGAATTTTCTTCCATATTGTTCACTCCAGTATGTTGATATTTTACTGTGTAGATTTGGACCAGGCCCTCCAGTATTTAAATTTTCAATATTTAAAAAATATTTTATTATTTGATACCTTTCTCATCTCCTTTCCAGTGAGTACATTTGGAGGGCTGTGAGACGCTTCCAATAATTTAGGTGCTTTATCACGTCTCTGCGTGCCGTGTATGTTCTCTGTATTCCCTCTATTTCAGTAATCTCTCCTGCTCTGAAGGGGGAAGTGAGTACTGATGAGTACTCAAGATGGAACAGCACAAGTGATTTGAATGTACAACCATTGTGATGGCATCCCTGGATTTGAAAGTTCTCGTAATCCATCCTATCATTTTTTCTGGCTGACGCAATATTTGTTTGGTTATGCTCGCTCAGCGTTAGATCGTCGGACATTTTTATTACAAAATCCTTTACATTCTGCTTTCCTACAATGGGCAGATTTAATTGCGTTTTGTACTTTTCATGCTGTTTTTCTGGGGGGAACCCCTTTGGCTTCCCGGAGCTTATCAAGGCTGATGCGGAACTATTAGACTGGCATCAGTCAGTGTGAATGGAGTTCTTAGGCCTACCGGGGACCACGAGCCAGAACCTGGCCTCCTCAGAGAGGCACTCTCTCTCAAGGTAAGATTTTCTAAACTAATAACCACAAAGGACTCCTCATTCATAGCACTATGGTACCAGGATGAAGATGTTGACACAGTCATCAAGGGAGAAAATAAACGCAAGTTGATGGATAAACATTTTCAGGTCATTATTCCCCAAGAGCTGCCGGCCAGGAAGACAATAGTCCTGAAGAGACTTGATGCAGCACTTACTAACCTGAAAATAT